TGTGCCTGCCCTCCACCCCCCAAGCATGATGTCCTTCTCCAAGGACCGGTCTCTCTTTACAACATGACCAAAGTATGTCAGACGAAGCTTCAGAATCCTTGCCTCCAAGGAGCAGCCTGATTTAACCCTCTCAAGGATGAGTCTGTTTGTTTTCTTCGCAGTTCGTGGTACCCCCAATACTCTTCTCTAACACCAAAGCTTAAAGGCATCAATCCTCCTTCTATCCTCCTTAGTCATTGTCCAACTCTCTGACGCATAACAAGTGATTGCAAAGACCATGGTCTGTATCAGACGCACCTTAGTCTTCAGAGAGACACCGTTGCTCTTCAGTACTTTAGAGTGGCTATGAGTCATGCTCAACTTGAAGGCAGTCAACAACAGCAACATTGGAAGACAGAGATGAACAAGGCTGGGCCCTTCTCCACAAGTCATTCCTTCTATCACAGGCTCAGCGATTCGAAGGTGCCAGTTCAGGACCTGGGGCAAGTTTACTCACCAAATGACTACACAAGAGCCAGACTAGGAACTTTCTTTCAAAGTGAAATCAAGTCCTAGTGTTTCTTCCTACACCCACTGCCATCAAGTTGATTTGACTCATAGAGACCAAATGATAGAGTAGAACAGGCCCTGTACGTACGGCTTTTAAGGAGCAGACTTCCAGGCTTTCTCTCTTACAGAGCTGTTGATGGGTTTGAGCTAACAATCTTTCCGTTAAAAGTTCAGTAACCATTTCGCCAGCAGAGCTATTTGCTTTCTTCATTGTTGTTGTTTGCTGTGTTCCCTCTGACACATAGCTGACCCCCTAGCAGGTTTTCAGAGGCAGTGAATGGCACGGGAGGAGACTGTCCATCCTTCTCCTGTGGCGCAGCTGGTGGATTCAAGCCATATGCCTTTAGGGTTGCATTGGACCCTAGAGTCTCTTCATGTTGTTGTTGTGTACCATAGAGTTGGAATTGACCCCTAGCTGATCTTTCAGAGGGTTTTCAGAGGCGTTAATTACACAAGAGGAGTCTTCCCACCCTTCTTCCATGAAACAGCTGGGATCACAGCGCAGCTTCTTGCCACTCAGCCAGAGGTGGCTTTCTTCCCCTAAGTGAATAGGAACCATGCAGTTCTGTTAGGAAGCAGGGGGGTTTCATATCAGTATATGCGTGCATCATGTATGTACATCTGTAAGTAATAATCCGTTCACTGTCCAGAGAGCACGCCTTCAAAGATCTCAGTCCACGAAATTGCCAGACACATGCAATTTCTAAGGCCTTGTCTCTAGAATCAGAAAATGTTTGGGATGTGACCCTAGCATTCCTGTACCGTTTGATCATGACAGACAAGCAAACTGAGGCTCGGAGAGGACGTGGCACGGATGTTCCCCAAGGTCACTAAATGAGAGGCAGAGTGATCATTAGAATTTTGTCCTCTTTTTTTTTTCTTTTTAAAAAAATTATTTATTAATTTTAATGAAAGTTTACAGAGACTTAGGGTTTCCAATCATTCATTGTTGCACTTTTCTCCCTGTTCACCTCCCCACCCCATTCACTCTTCTCCTTGAAAAGAAAAACTCTTTCATTGTTATGCAATCCCTCCCCCCAAGTCCACTCCACAATGCAGCCTTCACTCTGGAGTTCTGTAATGACAAGAATACCCAATCATCTATCCCTTTTAAACAGATCTCTCCCTCATCTGTTTCAATGCAGCATATATCATTCCTCCCCTCCTTTTCTGTCTTCTCTCAACCCTGATGTCAGTCCCGTTTTACAGCAGTGGCCCTATGCAATATTTGTCCTTTTGTGACTGAGATAGTTCACTCAGTATAATGTCCTCCAGGGGCATCCATTTTGCATAATATTTTATGAGTTCTTTATTTGTTTGTTTGTTTAAAAAAAATTGTCCTCTGACAGCTCAGCTCTCCCTCTTGCTTGCTGTATTTATCTGACTAAATGCACAGGTCCCAACACCGTGAGAAACGTGGGAAACGTTTGTGCTCTTTAATTCCACTTTTGCCCCAGGTCCTAATGCGAGGTGGAGACTGGGGAGGGAGGCGCATCAACGGGATTACCCCTTCACTCATTCATCCACCCCGTAAATATTCCTCAAACACCTACTGCACACTTGGCATTGTGTGGGGAGCTGAGGTCACAATCCAGAGGGAATACTTCCTCTCTAGAAGTTTTCAGCAGCAGGGGGAGAGGAGAGAGTACAGACATCAATCCAAGAATCACACGGGTTTGCACGTAGAAAGTGCCAGGAAGGCAAAGGACAACATGTTCACTGTTCTTTTTGTGTCCTGTGGAGGTCAGTACAGTTCCTCGGCGGAAGTGAAAGCGGCATCTGAGCTCAAGGATGAAGACATTTACTAGCAGCGCTGTGAGCACAACCTGTTCCCTGCCTCCTCACAGCACTTTGCTTGGCAGCCTCAGCATTCCCTCAGCCTGCCAGGAATCTTCCAGTAAGTCACCCGGTCTATCTGACTGCAGTGTTGACCTGACCGTACAACTGTTGACACATGTTGGACATTCTTCTGCAGACAGGCAGGATGTACCTCCCCAGAGAGGAATTTAGACATCATCCCCCTCCTTGGGTAACGGAGTTCTGGGGGATTTTCCCTTCTGAGTGTTCTGGAGTGATGCCAACTTTCCAGATGACTGCTTCCTCCTGAGACTGGAATACAGCTGCTCGGGCGCTCTGGTGGCACAGCCTGTTGAGTGTTGTGCTGGTGGTACCTCTCTGCTAGCAGGGCCAACAGCAGTGTGTCTCTGATGGGATGAATCCACCAGCAACTCTGCAGTAGAAAGATGGGCAATCTCCTCTCCTGTGACTACAGGCTCCCAAGCACCTTGTGGAGGGTCAGCTATCAGCAGGTTCCAACTCAAGACCATGATTAGAGAGTCTTTCCCACGGCTCTCTGCCTGCCAAACACTTTCATATCCTCTGGTCAAGACAATGTCAGTTTCGCTCACCCTTCTCCTCCTAACTGGACTGAGTCACCTCTGTGGTCCCCTTGTACCTGAGTCACATGCCTGTAACCCTGGGGATGCTTTGCCCTCTTTACACTGACTTTCCCAAGAACAAGACTTCCTGAGCCTTCATCACCCTGTGGGTGATGTCTGTCTGTCCTAAGACGATATGCAACATCTTCAGAAGCCTCAGATTAGAATCACGAGGTTCTGCCCCTCTCCAGCTCTGTGACCTTGGGCACCATACTTATCCTCTCCGTTTCCTTCTCAGAGTCTTCCAAGGGCTACAAACCATTGACTGTGCAGCTACTAACTTGGGCATTCAAACCAGAAGTCCCTCAGAAGAAAGGACTGGCAATCTTTTGAATAAAACAACCAGTGAAAACCCTATGGAGCTCTGTTCTCCCCTGACACATCTCTAAGTGTCTCCTGGCTGACTCTAAGCAAGAGTGGTCTAAAATGGCAATAATAGAGACATTACTACACAGGATTATTACAGCACTGAATGAGATCTGATGTGCAAAAGAACTTACTACAGTGTCTGCCAGACATTGAAGTATACAATGGCTAAGACATTGCTGCTGTTGTTGTTGTTGTTAGGTGCCTTTAAGGTATAACCCATAGTGACCCAGTGAATGACAGATCTGAACCCTGTCCTGTCCTGTGCCAACCCCACAGTCTCTGACACACTCAAGCCCATTGCTGTAGTCGCTGTGTCAGTCCCCCTGGCTGCGGGCTTTCCTCTCTTTTGCTGACTCTCCACATTTCCAAGCATGATGTCCCGAGAAATAGCCTCTCCTAGCTGGGCGATCTCCTCTCGTGTGATTAACTGCTTCTGAAAACCTGCTGGAGGGTCCACTATTACTCAACAACAGCACAACAACAACATGCCCAGAGCATGTGAGACAAAGCTTTGTTATTTTTGCCTCCAAGGAGCACTCTGGTGTCACCTTCTCTGAGACATGGCTTGGAGATCTCTTTGTTGTTTTAGCAGTCCATGGGACATTCAGCACCCTTCTCCAACAGCACAGCTCAAAGATATCAATTCTTCTTCTGTCACCCTTACTCACACTCCAACTATTAGTACAGGGATTTAATATGAGACTACACAGATAATAAAGAGTGCTCTGGTGGCCTCGTGGTAAGAAACTGCCCTGCAATCCCAAAGGCACATGGTTCAAATCACACTGACTAAAAGATTGGCAGTTCAACCCATCTAGAAGGTACATTGAAGATCTGGTGACCTGATCCAGTAACAGCTATAACTAGAAGACTCTATGGGGCAATTCTTTGTCTTAAAGTTGCTATGATTGAAAACTTGAAGTGATAGCATCTAACAATGAAACTCAAGTGTATTAGGCATGGTGGATGAGGATGGAGTTGGAAAGGGCAAGGTTCAGATCGGCTCATAGAGTGTTTGTGAGTCATGGTCCACTCAATGGCACCTAACAAAAACAACAGTAAAACAACATAATTATTAAGCCTTGCTTGGCATAAAGAGGTGCCCCCCCAGCCCCCCCCAGCCCCATCTCTCCAATTCCTTGGAGCAGAGCCCCCAAGGCCAGATGAGAAGAAAGAACAAATCTGATTTGGAAGAAGAATAGCTAGTGTGCTCTGTAGAGGGAAGGCAAGATTTAGTATTTGAGGCCTATTTGTAAAGAGGACCCAACCCCTGGGGAAAGTCATGCTTAATGCTATCTCTATTATTCCCCTTTTAGACCTTTCTCCTTAAAGCAGAGAAGGATGGGATAAATAATGCTTACTGCATTAAAACAGATGAGGGAGAAAACTGTTTGAAGGGGGTATGTGATTAGGTATTACTGTCATGACAGGAGTCCAGAACAAAGGCTGCATGGAGGAGTGGACCTGGGGGGAGAGACTGCATAACAATGAAAGAATTTTTCTTTTACTTTTCAAAGAGAAGAGTGTACTGGGGAGGGGAGGGACGGGGTGGGCAGGGAGAAAAGTGCAACAATGAATGAAGGGAAACCCAAAGTCTCTGTACATTTTCATTAAAATTAATAATAACCTCTTTGGTCGCGGCAGCGAAAGCGAGATGACAAGGGAACGTCATCGTTTGGAAAGAGTCGCAATAAGACGCACACGCTATGCCGCCGCTGTGGCTCCAAGGCCTACCACCTCCAGAAGTCCACTTGTGGCAAGTGTGGCTACCCCGCCAAGCGCAAGAGAAAGTATAACTGGAGTGCCAAGGCTAAAAGGCGAAATACCACCGGTACTGGTCGCATGAGGCACCTAAAGATCGTTTACCACAGATTCAGGCATGGATTCCGTGAAGGAACAACACCGAAACCCAAACGGGCAGCTGTTGCAGCATCCAGTTCATCTTAAGAATTCCACTGTTTAGTTATGCAATAAATGTTCTGGTATTATAATACGTAAAAAAAAATTAATAATAAAAGGAATAGAACTGAGCTCCACAGGGTTTTCACTGTTTGGTTTTAAAAAAGATTGTCAGGCCTTTCTTCTGAGGCACTTCTGAGTGGATTTGAACTTCCAAGGTGAACAGTCAGTGGTTTGTACCTCTCAGAGACTCTGAGGAGGGAATGCAGAGGTTAAAGTATGTTGTCCAAGGTCGCAGAGTCTGTGAGGAGCACAGCCTAGTTGAAGAGGGGAAATAAAGAGCCTTAATGGATGGATGGACTCTGTGGCTTCAACAGTGGACTCAAAGAAAGCAATGATTTTGAGTATGGCAATAGACGTGGCACTGTTTTATTCTATTGTACCCAGGAGATCTCTGAGTTGGAACTGACTTGAGAACTACTAGCAACAACAACAACAACAACTAGGCACACAGTTTCAAGAAAAGGGTATGTGGAAGGAGAGCTGTGCACTCAGCACAGGGCGCGACAGAGGAAGTTTGGCTCAGGGCCCGGACACCAGCGTACCCCATGTCCTTTCTCTGCACTCAGTCCCTCCCGCCTAAGCGGCCCCGGGCGCACCGGGGGCAGTTCTGGGAACTGTGGCCCCGGGGCTGGGCTCGGGTGCACCGCCCCGCTGCGCTCAGCCCGCTGCACCGGGCTGTCCCCGGTGACTCACCGAGGGCGTGCGCAGGCTGGCCCGGCCGGGGCGGAGCTTTTGCGCGCGACTCACCTTCTTGCAGCTACAAAAGCGCGCGGCTGCAGCCTGGGCTCAAAGCGTCCAGAGCATCACTACTCCTTCGACTGCCTACCGAGACTGCAGCTACCACTCTAACTTGCCATGGACCCCAACTGCTCCTGCGCTACCGGTAAGGGTTTCCCATTCTAGGACGAGGATGCTGGGTTTGGACGGAGGAGCTTAGACAAGCAATTTTTGTCTTCTCATTTTCTTCCTGCCTATCAGGGAAAGAATTGCTTCTTTCCAAAGGGTCTCGGCATCCTAAACAGCTCATAGGCTTTTCTGTGTCTATTTTCTCAGTTAAGAGACCAGAATTTCTACTTTGCTGGAGTTCACAAATGAGAAGTGGGATGAGAAGCTCCCCAGATGGTTCTTAACTCTGCTTTTTCTCTTTACAGGTGGCTCCTGCACTTGCGCTGGATCCTGCAAATGCAAAGAGTGCAAATGTACCTCCTGCAAAAAGAGTGAGTGTCACCCTCCCTTTCTCTCTTTCCCGACCCATTTCCTGTCCTGTACTCCTTTTTCCTCCGCTGTTGAGTCGGGTCCGACTCAGCGACCCCTCCATCGGGTTTCCTAGGAAACTGCTTATCCTTCGCTTAACTTTTTGGGGAGCCTTTGAAAGTGGGCTGCGGAGGGGAAGCGGCATCTCCACAGTGCCCCCTGCTGGGAAAGAAGAGAGGGCGCGTTGCTTGCGGTTTAAGTGCTGATTTCTGCCTCCTCTTCCCCTTCCCTAGGCTGCTGCTCCTGCTGCCCGGTGGGCTGCGCCAAGTGTGCCCAGGGCTGCATCTGCAAAGGGGCGTCGGAGAAGTGCAGCTGCTGCAGCTGAAGAGGGACAGCCCTGCCCTGGCCAGATGTAAATAGAGCGCCTTGTACAAATCTGGAGTGTTTGGGGGGGGTTTGTTTGTCTGTTTTTCATACAACTCTGACCCGTTTGCTACATTCTTTTTTTCTACAAAATATGTGAGTGATAAAGAATAAAAGCGGATAACTTTATTTCTGACTCTGGTTTCCTTTGTGTGGATTGGTAACAAAGGAGGCTGTGATCTGCGCGTGACTGGGTGTGGGACTGGACCGGGAATGGGCTGGGTGTGGGACTGGACTAGGAATGCAGACACCTGGGCTCTAGACCCAAATATTAACTGCCCACCAAGCTGGCTAAGGAGCTGCCCTGCAATCCCAAAGGCACGTGATTCAAATCCACCAGCTGCTCTGTGCTGCAAAATGTGCAATCTCTTCGCGGGCGATTAATCTGCCTCTGGAAATGCACTGGAGGGTCGGTTATGGGTCCATTCTGACTCAACAGTACACAACAACAATAACTAGCTGGTTGTTTCTCTGAGCTCCGCTTTCCTCGGCTGTGGAAGAGCATCTTGCCAGGACATGGGTGTGGAACAGATATCTACTGTATTGTCAGCTGAAGTATGATAAAGAGCCTGGTGTTGATCTTTTATTTTCACTCTCTGGGTGGGGTGGGGGGGTGGGGCTCTGTCTCTCACCAGACACTGGGCTTCAAAGATCACCGAAGGGGTGGAGTCTATCCTGCTTGAATCCTCACATTTAAAAGAGTATCTCAAACTTAACAAAAGCACTAGCTTGCATGATCCCCTGTCTCGGCCTTAAACACGGGTAAAATAAAAACTACTGAGAAAATCAATGGACAATACAAAATAAAAATCCACTTTTTTACCTCAAACAAAATTTTAAAATACAGGGAAATAGGGAGGACTGGTGATCTAGTGGTAAGAAACTGGACTGCAATCTTGAAGGCACGTGGTTTGAATCCCATCAGCTGCTCTGCGGGAGAAGGATGTGCAGTCTCCTCCCTGGAAAAACAAAACAAAAAATACTCTGCCTCTGAAAACCCCGGGGGGAGGGTCAGCTATGGGTCTACTCCAACTCACAACACAACAAGAAACAGGGAAACTAACATATTAGGTAACAAGTTACAGTAAAGACTGCATGTTGGGGAGCTCTGGTGGCCTAGTGGCAAGAAGCTACACTGCAATCCCAGAGGAACACGGTTTGAATCCACCAGATGCTCTGCCGGAGAAGGAGGCGCAATATCCTCCTGTACCAGTCAGATCTGATTTGACGGTACACGCACACAAAATTAAAGTAAATAAATAAATAAATAAATAAAGACTGCATGTTGGTTTTTTGAGGGGTTTTCCACTGAACATAGGCATGGCAGACCAGAACAGTTGTGGATAGCCGTTCTAAGTAGCACTGGCTCGATATCTCTACAGGAAACCATCCTCCTTGGTTTCCTCAGAGCCAGTGATGTGAGATACTCTAACCCCTCTACTGGTTGACTTGGTATCATTGGAAAGAGGGTTTGGCTTGGTATCATTGGAAATTCCTGCCAATTTCAGGCTGAAATCAGTCCTCCTTCAGAGTTCAGGCCTTCGCTGGTTCAAGTCAGCCAAGTGACTAGGTATTTGAAGGGAATTTCTCCACCTTTCCTCACCAAGATGTAGAGTACATGAGAAATGGATGTAGAGAAAGTAGTTATACCAGTGCAGCAATGGTGGAGTCGGCTGTTAGAAGGACGTGGTGATATTTATTTGGCAGCACTGGGTCCTGAGTGACTGTAATTAAGGTTAACAGTCAGTCTCCCATGCCTCACCGGCTATTTATTTGTTCAGGGAACTGCTATTTGATATTCAAAGAGAAAGACATGGCTCAGTAGTCAGATCTGTGCTTGTCCACATGTAATGAAGGGATTTCAGAAACCAGTAGGTATCATAAGGATGGGTGTCGGTCTCAGGGCCCCAGATCTACTCCCTTCTTCCCCGCTCCGTGACCTGAAAAAGATTCCCAAACTCACTGAGTATTCTTTTCCTAGTCTGTGAAGTGAAGACTATACCCTAAACCTGGGCAAAACCATCTTGAATCTGTCGTGTAGCAATGAGCCTTTAAAGAGCTTTATGCGAGCAGGACCTAGAAACGGAAGATCCCATCTAATACGATACTTTCTTCCCTGGTGGATGTGATGAAAGGAGACCTAGTAGGATGTGGAGAGAGACTCAAAGAAACTGTGCACTGCAACAGATGAGGGGAAGAACGGTCCTTAAAGGATGTATGATTAAGTATGACACATACGACCACAATCTGGAACAAGAGGTGCATTGCAAAGTGGACTGGGAAGAGGGAGGGAAGAAAACATGCGACAATGAATGAATAAGAAATTCTTTAAAAGATAGCTGCAATTAATAAATCACTGATTATAAAAAAATGAATAAAAGAAGCTGGGCTTAGGGGACAAGGAGAGTGCTGTGGGTGGGAGACACCAGTCAAGTGTAAAGTCAGCCCATTTCTGCCCACCCAGGCTGTTCCCCAACTACTGCCAGGTCATAGGACATGAAGGAGAGCAAAGGCAACAAGTTGCCCAAACCAGGGAGAGTGTTGGGAAGCCAGAGATGAATCCAAAGGCTGAGTTCCCGTAATACTAGAAAGCGCGCGGGAAATAACAGCCAGGAAAGTAGTGGGAGGAGGTTTGCAGGCTGCCTGGGACACCGAGTCCCGTTCCGCACGGCCCTCAAGCCCTCCCAGGAGCGCGCGGGCACAAAGGGCGGCAGGCCGTGTGCAACCCGCGGCGCTGACTCAGGGGGCGGGGCGCTCGGGGGGCGGGGCCTTTGCTCACGGGCCCTTCTGCTCCCGAGCAGTGTCTCCGCCGAGCGGGCGCTGGCCCGCCCTCCACCAGCCCCCCATCCTCTTGGCTATTTCCAATCGTATCTTTGGCCTCCCCTCGCTTCCCAGTGGATGTCAACCGCTTTTGCTCAGCTGGCAAGGGACGCTTGGCTTCTGAGCTCAGGATGCAGCACTCGATGCCCATGGGGGATGGAGACGTCACTGCTTTGAGTTCTGAATGTTCTCCCTCACCAAGTGCCTTCAACTCCCCCAAACAAGAGGAATCATCCTAGTGTCTCCTCTGCTCCCCAGTTCAGAGGCCACAGGACTGAGAGTCAGAAATGTTGTATTGGGGACTAAAACCAAGGACTATAAACTTCATTACAGAAAAGCTAGGAACAACACTAGAAGTCCTAATCCACAACATAAACAGTCTTCCCAGTAT